AGGTCATCTGTTGCTGGTGTACATGTTGTGACAGGTTATTAACTATACCACTCCTGTTTATAAACAGGTCATCTGTTGCTGGTGTACATGTTGTGACAGGTTATTAACTATACCACTCCTGTTTATTAACAGGTCATCTGTTACTGTAGTACATGTTGTGACAGGTTATTAACTATACCACTCCTGTTTATTAACAGATCATCTGTTGCTGTAATACACATCAACGTCACCGACACCAATAACATTACACCGGAGTTTCAAGGTGCCCCTTATGAAGCAGCAGTTGGAGAGTCTCTCCCAGCAGGAACCTTTGTTACCCGTGTTATGGTAAGACAACAGTGATAATATAGCCCTTAAATGATATTATAACCTATGGTGTTGTCTTGTATGTAACATGTAAATTATCCTTTAAATCAACTTAACAGTATAGTTAGGTTAGGGTTAGGTTAGAAAGTTCGTTTCTACTTTAGTGTGTGAGAGGGACTCTCTTACAAGTAGTCACAAATTTGAAAAACAAGTCACTAGAAGAATCTCTTTTTATAGAAAACTATGTCAGTACGAGTAAGTAAACAACGTTAGAACTTATATAGGAACAGTATTGAACCTTTACTTGTAAACACACAATAATAGACACTTACGTAAGCAAACAGTAATATAACCTTACTTGTAAACACACAATATTAGACACTTACGTAAGCAAACACTAATATAACTTTACTTGTAAACACACAATAATAGACACTTACGTAAGCAAACAGTAATATAACCTTACTTGTAAACACACAATATTAGACACTTACGTAAGCAAACACTAATATAACTTTACTTGTAAACACACAATAATAGACACTTACGTAAGCAAACAGTAATAGAACCTTACTCGTAAACAAAAAATGATAAAGACTTACTTGTAAACAAACAGTAATATAACCTTACTCGTAAACAAAAAATTATAAAGACTTACTTGTAAACAAACAGTAATATACTTACTTTTAAACAAACAATTATATAATATCATTCGGAAACGCATAATAATAAGACCTTTACTTGTAAAGAAACAACACACTAAAACATTACTGACATACGAACAGTACCGAACCCTTACTCGTACGATACTGAACACGAATTTGTGAACAACAATATTGAAAACAACGAAGAAAATAAGTTACAAAATTATAACTTACGTGTTAAAAACACACAAAATAGAGAAAAATTAAACTAAACACCTTGAAATAAAACAATAAAAAATTCAAGATAAATTTTTCTTAATCCAAAAAATAAAACAGAATTATTAGGGACAGTTTCTTACGTAATGATGCTCATAGGGTGATTTTTCTGTTGTTTACAGGCTAAAGACCCGGATGTTGACACAGTTCTGACATTTTCAATCATTAGGGGGAACGATGAACAAAAGTTCGTTATCGACTCCAGAAAGTAAGATATTACAAACTTTATAACCACACAATATTACATTAGAGTAGTGTGTATTTTTTCTTTAGCCGCGGCATAATGGCTCAATGAACAAAAGTTCGTTATCGACTCCAGAAAGTAAGATATTACAAACTTTATAACCATACAATATTACATTAGAGTAGTGTGTATTTTTTCTTTAGCCGCGGCATAATGGCTCAATGAACAAAAGTTCATTATCGACTCCAGAAAGTAAGATATTTTCAACATTACAAACTTTATAACCACACAATATTACATTAGAGTAGTGTGTATTTTTCTTTAGCCGCGGCATAATGGCTCATAGAAAGACTGTGTTTTTTTCCCCCAATTTCTTTAACTGATAGCTCTGTCATCTCCTGACCGACTTGAGATATAATCACAGGTTTGGATTCAGAAGGTCAAACCCTTTCGATTGGTGTATTTGACCACGGCCAAGGTCACATAGATCAATTTACTCTACTCTTACCTATAAGAATTTCAAGTGACGCAGCTATTGAGGATTCCCCCTTGTTTTTACACGACTTTTTTACATGAGAGTAGCAAGTATTTTTTTGTCATTAAACTATTCGAACCTCAAACAGTAATATTGTATTGTTGACTTCCAGTTTCAACTTTATATCTTGATAGTTTACTTCACAGGATAAACAAGTAATTATTTATATTGTTGACTTCCAGTTTCAACTTTATATCTTGATAGTTTACTTCACAGGATAAACAAGTAATTATTTATATTGTTGACTTCCAGTTTCAACTTTATATCTTGATAGTTTACTTCACAGGATAAACAAGTAATTATTTATATTGTTGACTTCCAGTTTCAGCTTTATACCCCAGTAGTTCACTTCACAGGATAAGCAAATTTCATTTTAAAAAATGTTAAGTTTTGTGATTTTCACACAATAATCGTCCTATACTCTTTCAAACTACACTATACCATAAAGTAGCAACAGAATCCTGAGTGAATAAAGCGTTGTTTCATTACACTATAAACAGAACATGATTAAAGCGATGTTTCCTTACACTATAAACAGAATATGATTAAAGCGATGTTTCCTTACACTATAAACAGAATATGATTAAAGCGATGTTTCCTTATACTGTAAACAGAACATGATTAAAGCGATATTTCCTTACAATCTAAACAGAACATGATTAAAGCGATGTTTCCTTACACTATAAACAGAACATGATTAAAGCGATGTTTCCTTACACTATAAACAGAATATGATTAAAGCGATGTTTCCTTATACTGTAAACAGAACATGATTAAAGCGATGTTTCCTTACACTATAAACAGAACATGATTAAAGCGATATTTCCTTACACTATAAACAGAACATGATTAAAGCGATGTTTCCTTATACTATAAACAGAACATGATTAAAGCGATGTTTCCTTACACTATAAACAGAACATGATTAAAGATATGTTTCCTTACAATATAAACAGAACATAATTAAAGCGATGTTTCCTTACAATATAAACAGAACATAATTAAAGCGATGTTTCCTTACAATATAAACAGAACATGAATTAAAGCGATGTTTCCTTACACTATAAACAGAACATGATTAAAGCGATGTTTCCTTACAGTGGACAAGTACTAACAGCTGACGTCCTAGATTACGAACAGCGACAGTCCTATGATCTTCTGGTTCAGGTTTCTGACGGCGTCAACGTAAGTCACTACAGCATGTTTTGATGTACTCCAGTTAAACCTGTAGGCCCCATTCCTAAAACCATTTTTTCTAAACCATATAACCAACAAGATGGTTGTGTAACCATGATTTTGTTGGTTAGTGTCCCTATTAAAAATGTAAAAACAACCGTCAATATTGAGTTTAAACCACTGAACCATATAACCAACAAGATGGTTGTGTAACCATGATTTTGTTGGTTAGTGTCCCTATTAATAATGTAAAAACAACCGTCAATATTGGGGTTTACATATAAAATGAGTAATTTCACTCAATTTTCTGATGAATTTTTGCACACTGATTGTTGTTCTGATAACTCTCCCATAAAAGTCCCGTATGTGGCAGTTAGTTTCAGAATTTTCGCATAAATCTACATAAAGACCAATATGCATGTAGCATTTTCTAGTTTTGAATTGATAGATTAGAAGGAAGGTCAACAACACCCACCGCCAACTCGTGGGGTAGTCTTATCTAACTGTAGGATGTAAGTTGAATATCACTCTTATTATTGCACCCACGGCTCCAAGGTGTGGGTTTTGTGGCAACTGGTGTCGAACCATCGGATTCACAGTCCGAGCACTAACCATTGTGTCACGCCAGGCCTGCAAACAACAGATTTTTGTTTGTCTTCCTAAATAATAAACATTTATCTTAAATAACGTAATATGTAAAACTAAAAATAAACAACTTCTTGTTAGTGGGAAAATATCAGAAATACATGATGTTTGTGTTGTTTAATATTTACACCATGTTTGTGTTGTTTAATATTTACACCATGTTTATATTGTTTAATATTTACATCATGTTTGTGTTGTTTAATATTTACATCATGTTTGTATTGTTTGATATTTACATCATGTTTGTGTTATTTAATATTTACACCATGTTTGTGTTGTTTGATATTTACAACAACTTATTGTCATTTAATATTTACATCATGTTTGTGTTGTTTGATATTTACACCATGTTTGTGTTGTTTGATATTTACATCATGTTTGTGTTATTTAATATTTACATCATGTTTGTGTTATTTAACATTTACATCATGTTTATGTTGTTTAATATTTACATCATGTTTGTGTTATTTAATGTTTACACCATGTTTGTGTTATTTAATGTTTACACCATGTTTGTGTTATTTAATATTCCAGACGGCTGCCACACCCTTGTCAGTAAAGGTGGTAGATATCAATGACAGACAGCCTGTTTTCACTCACAACTATTATAACTTTTCTGTTGTGGAGGAAATTCGACAAAATATAACAATTGGAAGTGTTCTGGTAAGTTCTATCAATTGTTCTCGTGTGATGAACCTAGAAACCCTGTTCTGGTAAGTTCTATCAATTGTTCTCGTGTGATGAAACCTAGAAACCCTGTTCTGGTAAGTTCTATCAATTGTTCTCGTGTGATGAATTAGAAACCCTGTTCTGGTAAGTTCTATCAATTGTTATCGTGTGATGAATTACAAACCCTGTTCTGGTAAGTTCTATCAATTGTTTTCGTGTGATGAATTAGAAACCCTGTTCTGGTAAGTTCTATCAATTGTTCTCGTGTGATGAATTAGAAACCTAGACATCACCTCGCGTTTTGTTTTTCCTAAAATAATATTCTACCATTTTATTATGTTGGAAATATTCTGCCCTGATGATTTCCAAGTACGATATTGTGTTATTTCTATAGGGCTGTTCATATACTTCAATAATATACACCATCTTCCATTTACATGATCATATACTTCAATAATATACATCGTCTTCCTTTACATGATCATATACTTCAATAATATACACGATCTTCCATTTACATGATCATATACTTCAATAATATACACGATCTTCCCTTTACATGTTCATATACTTCAATAATATACACGATCTTCCATTTACATGATCATATACTTCAATAATATACACGATCTTCCATTTACATGATCATATACTTCAATAATATACACCATCTTCCCTTTACATGTTCATATACATCAATAATATACACCATCTTCCCTTTACATGTTCATGTATGTACATCAATAATATACACCATCTTCCCTTTACATGTTCATGTATGTACATCAATAATATACACCATCTTCCCTTTACATGTTCATGTATGCACATCAATAATATACACGATCTTCCCTCTATATATGTTTATGTTTCAGTTCGTGTTTCTTATATCACAAGTTCAGTAGTTTGAAATCTGTCGTTTCGCCTGACAGGCTATTGACAGTGACTCAGGTAAAAACGCTGCAGTTCGGTACAGCATCCTCGGAAGTAGGGCTAGCAAAGTTTTCCGTATAGACCAAAGAGGAAATATCTTCACCCAACGGAGCCTTGACAGAGAAACAGAGACGAAACTAGAATTTCTAGTGGTTGCGTTTGACGGAGGTTTACCTCAGCTGAGCGGGACATCAACCGTGATGGTCTACGTAGAAGACATTAATGACAACCCCCCGACTTTCGAAAGCGACAACTACGTTGTCAACGTTCCCGAAGAAAGAGAACCGCCTTACAAAGTGTTCGAGATCATAGTAAGTAGAAACTTACAGAGAGAGGGTGGGCGGAAGCAACCGTAAGTAATATATTAAGGTAAAAATATACCTTTATTTAACAGTGAAGAAAACATAACCTTGATATAAACATACCTTTACTTAACTTTACTGATAAAAACATTCTTATATTTAAAACCGATAAAATATACCTTTGTGTACTCATAATTTAAAGAATTAACTGGCCTCCTGCAAGTTGAAACTATAAAACATCCATTCTAAAGAGTACTGTAAGCTTAGCATTGATCTTATCGCTACTGTGACTTAAAATAAACATACCAGTTGTTCAAATGGCTTAATACAAGTTTGGTGGTATTAGGGTTAACATTTGTAATAGTGGCATTATATTAAACACCAGTAGAGTGGTGGTATTATATTAAACACCAGAAGAGTGGTGGTATTGTAGTAAATACTAGCAGTGTGGTGTTATTATAGTAAACACCAGCTGTGTGGTGTTATTATAGTAAACACCAGCTGTGTGGTGTTATTATAGTAAACACCAGCTGTGTGGTGTTATTATGATAAAAACCAGTATTATGCTGATATTATGTTAAGCACCGGTATTAGTGAAGAACTAACAGCACACAAGAACATTTTACAATTAGATTCAATGGTTTTTTTTTATCACAGGCTGAAGACAAGGATTCTGGAGAAAATGCAGAAATGAAATACAACATCATCGGCGGGAACGAAAATAACGCATTTGAGATCGACGAAGACAGCGGTATCGTGTACACAGCCGATAAACTAAACTATGAAGACCAGTCTGAACACAAGTTGGAAATCGTCGCAAGAAACACTAAACCATTCCAAGGACCAACTGCTGTAAACCTTGCGAACCCTGTAGTCCAGCTCATAGTGAGAGTACAGGTAAGAATATTTTACAAACTGTAACGGTATTTAAAGATCCTGATGTGGGTTCATCACTGTCATCATTAGTACTATCATTACCTCCAGACTTTTTATTTAAAGATCCTGGTGTGGGTTCATCACTGTCATCATTACCTCCAGACTTTTTATTTAATTAGTACCATCATTAGCACCATCATTACCTCCAGGCTTTTTATTTAAAGATCCTGGTATGAGTTCATCATTGTCATCATTAGTACCATCATTACCTCCAGACTTTTTATTTAATAATCCTGGTATGGGTTCATCATTGTCATCATTACCTCCAGACTTTTTATTTAAAGATCCTGGTATGGGTTCATCACTGTCATCATTAGTACCATCATTACCTCCAGGCTTTTTATTTAAAGATCCTGGTATGGGTTCATCACTGTCATCATTAGTACCATCATTACCTCCAGGCTTTTTATTTAAAGATCCTGGTATGAGTTCATCACTGTCATCATTAGTACCATCATTACCTCTAGGCTTTTTATTTAAAGATCCTGTTATGGGTTCATCATTGTCATCATTAGTACCATCATTACCTCCAGACTTTTTATTTAAAGATCCTGGTATGGATTCCTCATTGTCATCATTAGTACCATCATTACCTCCAGACTTTTTATTTAAAGATCCTGGTATGGATTCCTCATTGTCATCATTAGTACCATCATTACCTCCAGACTTTTTATTTAAAGATCATTATGTAATTTATCATCATAGCTTTGAGAATATCTTTTTCTTCTGGTTGTACAATCATTCTATACACTGGCTGTGCAGAAGTAAGACTATATTATAAGGATCAAGTAGTCACATTATCACATCTATTGTAAAATGTAGTTTTTAAATTAAGACCAACAAAAGTCATTAACAGACAAAACAATGTTTACTATGTCACAGAATTTTGTAAAAAAATAATTAAAATATTTTATTTTGTAAACAGCAGTGGAATGGATGTTCCTCTGATTTATGCACTGACCTAATTACTCAAACATCATAATATATTTAAACTAGCCACTAAAACGTTTTAATTCTTTCTCCAGGATATCAACGATGGGGCAGTGGTTTTCAGTCAACCTTCTTATCAGTACGGAATTTTGGAGAACACCCCCAGAGCAGAATCCATTGGATTTGTGAACGCCACCAATTTTGGACGATCCCCTCAAGACCAGGACATCACCTATTGGATTGGAGAAGGGAATGACAACGATCTCTTCTGGGTTAATCCAAACACAGGGATGGTAATTCTCATGGACACATTGGATGCCGACCCACCTGCCAATCAACGACTGTTTAATCTGAAAGTATGTGTTTCATAATGTTGTATTCTTATTGTATAAGACTGATCTTTGTGATCAGATCGTGATCCTACAAAAATATGATACAGCAAGTGTTGTTATACTGTAACAGTTGTAAGGAACGTAATAACTTTCTGTTTCTTAGAAATTCTAACTGTGGAATATTTCATGTGATACATTCATAACAACAATATTTGGTATAACAGGAGTATTTTAATCTTTGTATGAAAGGTCATACACCCTTCGCTAGAAAGTGATATGTTGGAGACACTTTTCTCAAGAGAGTTCAGCATTTGTTACCTTATGGTAAAGATGGAGTAATAGAAAAATATTCCAAGACGCTGCTACCCCAAGGTGATCCATATTCTTTTGTTTTCCAATGCCATTAAATATAAGATATCCCAGACTTGGAAAATCTAAATCCCCAATCTTATAGTAAAGATGGAGTAACAGAAAAATTTTCCAAGACGCTGGTACCCCAAGGTGATCCATATTCTTTTGTTTTCCAATGCCACTAAATATAAGATATCCCAGACTTGGAAAATCTAAATCCCCAATCTTAACACATCTGTGTTACAGACCTTTCCCAAAAGCGGTAACATCACAACACCAAACAATGTTAAAATGTAGTTTTGATACATTCCGTTCCACGACTTAATATTTCCTGTGATTATTGGGTGACTTGTTGATTCGCATACTCAAAATCATTTCAATATTTAATATAACGTACACAACCCACTGTACTGGTATAATCTAAAACCCAATACCGATTTGTGGGATTGAGATATCTATAAACATATAACCACAGGAACAGAAAGAAATAAACGCTACTTTATTATGTTCCTCTTGTCTTCAAACATATAACCACAGGAAGATAAATAGATAAACTGTTGCGTCAGCGAGGTCACGTGACTAGTATCACGCCACCTGTTTTCTAGAAATATCCTGTTCCTTCAAGAATGCCCTAGCACTTACTAGATATGGGGGTAGTCTGGTATATATAAGATGGTCACAATGTGACGGAACAGTGTAGTGAGTAATTGAAATGCAGTCAGAGAATATTGTTGAAGTTGAGCATGTTCGTTGTTATAGCACGACTGTTGAAATTAAGTGTATCGTAAAGTTGTATTCGGAAAGAATAAACCAGTTTTATTTAAGAAAGGACTTGTGTCGCTAAAGTTTCGTCAGAACGAAGTTACGGAAAATTAACTAACGAACGGAGGCGTAACAAAACGTTACTTTATTATGTCTTCAGATTTTATTTTTTGTTCTATTGTTTTCTAGTCAATGAAATTTGTTTCAATATTTCGCGCAAAGCCACTAAAGGGTTTTTACACATAGCCCTATGTAGTTTTGAAGTGACAAACTAAAGAGAAGACAGCCAGTCAACCCTTGGGCTATTCTTGTCTCACAGATTATGGGATTTGACAAACACTATGATAACGTACTCTTAGTTTCAAAGTTTGGAACGCGTTTCTGTGGCCACGGATTGTGAATACGAACCGTTGGGTTTAGTTGGAACATGTTAAGCTCTATTCCAAGCTCGGCTTCTTTGTAAAATAAATCGTTATTAATACGTACGTCTGACTGCGTGTTGCTATTATTATCGTAGAGTGAGTTTTACTAACATCTTCATTTCTTCGTATTTATGAAAAAGTTTAAAACAATTATAAGGCACTCTAACACTCAGTTAATAACAAC